TTTGGTTCGCATGGGCTGTAAACCTCAATTCAACTATTTGCAAAATCTTTTACAATATAAAGGGCGCGGGCAGTCATTCGCTCCTTACCGGTTAAAAGGTCAAGCAATGCGATATGTCAGCTGTGTGCAGACCGCACTAATCCATCATCCGGCATCACTCCGCAGTGAGCGGTGGCTCTGCAGTGAATGCAAGGGAGAGACTTTTCTCCTGACTTTCCCCTGGTTTCCTGGCCAACAACTCCTCCTCGCACACACACACACACACACCAGATGCACCAACCATTGGCTGTTGTGGAGACATTGCCGTATGCAAATTGGCTCCTGCCGTTGCCCACAAAATACACAGTCACTACACTTCACAGAAAAATCCTGTGAAGCGCTTTGAGATGCCTTCCACCGACGTGAAAACCCAGCGCCTTGGGACGTCCACCCGACGTGAAAGGCGCTATACAAATGTAATCTTGGTGGTGGTGTTGGTGAAAGGAGCTACACAACAAAACATGGGATTATTATCGTCATTAAATAATGCCAATCAGCGCATTTCCATATGGAGATTAGTGTCAAAACGGCTCAAAGTGCTTCACAGGGAATTGCTGTCAAGTGCAGTGACTGTGCGCTTTGCAGGCCAATGCCACAGCCAATTTGCTCACAGCAACAGCAATATCACCCAAAGACCCACGAAGTGAACGACGAGGGATTTTTTTCAATCTGGGGAGGATTGCCGGCCAGGACACCGGGAGATAGATTCCCTTTTCTTTTCGGACAGTGTTTATGGGAGCTTTATTCCCTCCCGCCCCCCACCCCCCCCCCCCACCCCTTCCTTCCCCCAACCACACCTTTGTGCAAGGCTCCGAGACTCGATCGTCATCGGTGGGATAACTGGGCATTTTGCTGTCATTCTGCGGAACGGCCACTTGGTGGCGCCACAGCAGAACAGATCAGCCCACGTTTGATAGCGATCAGTCAACATCAACTGGATTGGGTTTGGGTGCAGAAGGCTCTTGGGTCCATCTCCGATCTCATCCCTCAAGAACCCGCATCCCCACTCTCCTCATCCCCTTCCATCGCTGCATCAAACTGCTGCTGAGATGAGAAACCAGTCAATCATTGAACAAATCAACAAACAAATGAGTAATTCGCCGATAACCCACCCAGGACACTGCAACGTCAAAACATCTCAAAGCGCTTTGCGGGCAGTTGCCGACCAGTGTAGTGACTGTATTTCTAGGCGGGTGAGAGGGACAGTTAAGAACCTACCCCCTACCCCCAACACACACACACAGCCTTGATGAACAATCCTCGCGTTGGGCACTCCACCTTTCATGTCAGGAGGACGCCTTGAAGCGCTTCCCAGGATTTAACATAAAGTGTGTTGACTGTGCGTTGTGTCGGCAAATGCGGCAGTCAGTTTGTGTGCACAGCAAAGTCCAATTGATGGCGATGCCTTGTCCCCCAGGATTGTTTATTTCCACCCCCCCTTCCCCTATCGAGATTTGTTTGGTTTAGTCATGCTTTTCACCTGTACAAGTGTCAGTTACTCAGTGAGCCAGCTGTTTGGGAGAATGAAGGCATTTACAAAGGACACCAGCATCTAATCTCTCTTTCTCTCCCCAGAGATCTTTTATGCGGGTAGGATAGTGTTATCCCACCTCCACACACACATACACACATCATGTTCCATCTAGTTTATGATCAACACAAGCCACTCACTCAATGATGTCCGTCAGACTGTGAACTCTTCTGCTGCATTAAGCAAAGGAAGGAACAAACTTGTATTATTTACGCTGCTTTGCTTTGTTTTTTTATCACATCACGACTTACACCAATTATTACAGGAATATCGGCCTGGGTTAATCATAACAACCGCCGCAATAACACAGCGCCTTTCACTTCAGGAGGACGTCTCAAAGGCACTTCTTCCTCGAGACCTACCTTTTTGACCCGGCCTATGGTCACCCCCTCCCTGGTCCCTCACTTGACATCCCACCCCACCAACTGTGCAGGGAAAGGCGCTGTATATATGCAAGTTGTTGTTAGGACTGGTGGGACAGTTACAGAGAGTATCCATCCCCAACGGCAATGGCAGGATCTCAGACTCACACAACAGCAAAGAGAACAGACGTTCCAAACTACACCCAATGACCACTGACCTGATCTCCATGGAGAGCGAAGTGGACTTTGCCTGCATCACCTGTGGCCAACTCCCCAAAGATATTAGAGTATAATTAACATGTATACAGCGCCTTTCATGTCGGACAGAATGTCTCAATGCGTTATAATCTGTTTATTTATTCTAATCTGTTTGCGAGCCGATAGATAAATATTCTGCACAGATGTAATATTCGGTCCAGGTTACCAGTAAAATATCACCTAATTTTGTTTTTCGTTTGAAAAAAAAAGAGAAATATGTGACAGATTTACCCTGCCCGGGCAAGTATTGTCTGAGTTCCCAGACATCGGAATGCATTTTAAACGTTTTCTCCTCATTTTTAAACAAAAAAATGAAACAAGATTTCATTTTCACGGCATGTCACACCCCCCCCCAGGCAAAAAGAAAGAAAGCCAGTTCAATAAAAAAATGAAAAAAGAACTAAATATAAATTTTATCGAGGCTTTTGTGAGAGGATTTGGGAAAGGGAAGTATTAACTATTTAACAGTCAATAAAGCAAAGCAAAAAGACACCTAATTTTAATTTGCGTAAAATTCCTTTGGGATGTGATACTGCAGGCAAGAGAGGATAGAGACAGAAATTATCCACTCGCAAGCCGAGAACGGCCAGACTGTAAAGCAGGACTCATATTCCCGCCCCCTCCCCCCCACACCCTTGCCTTTGATATACCCCCACCCGCCACCCCCCACCCTCCCACTCTCACTCAGTCCTAATCCTTGACTGTTCAGCACCTTGGGACATCCTCCTGAAGTGAAAGGCACTTTACAAAGGTAATTGTGTATATGCCCTTATCACGTCGGGAAGACATCTCAAAGCGCTTCACAGGACTCACTGTGCAGTGTAGTGACTGTGTGGTTTGGTCGGCCAACGCGGCGGCCAATTTGCGCACAGCGACGTCCCCGCAAACAGCCGTCAAGTGAGTGACCGATTTTATTCAGAGGGATTGTCGGTCTGGACACTGGGAGAAGAGGAACTCCCTTCTCTTGTCCAATAGCACCGTAGGATCTTTATGTCCACCTGAACAAGGCACAGATGGCAGCCCGGTTTAACATCTCATTTGACAGACGGCGTCTCCGACAATACAGTCACTCTCCCTCCCCCAACCCCCCACCGACCCCCACCCCTCTGCCCTAGAGCATCAGTCTAGACTGTGAGCTCAAAGTCCCTGACATGAGGGACTTAAACTCACAACTTTCTGACCCAGGGGAGAGAGTGCGAGCAACTGAGTCAGAGGCTGACGACAACTATGGGGCCACAGCGTGAGAGGAAAGAGGCAAGAAGACCTGATACCGAACAAAAAAAATGATCAAAGAAAAAAAAAACACGTTAAAAAAAGTCCCTCTGCGATCGCAGAGAACGTGTGAGTGCATTTTATTACAAAAAAGTTACAAAAAATTAAATATTACTTACAGAATTAATGTGTGTAGAACGAGCTACAATGGTTTAGGAATATTGCAATCATTAGGGTGAATTCTCAGTTTCCTTATTTTTACTTTTGCCCTATTAAACTCCGAGAACCTACTACACGAACCTATTAATAAATTAAAAACATGTACAACAGGGAATAGAAGCCGTGGGACTCTCCATCATTTCTTTTTCAATAATAAAGACTTTTTTTTCTCTCTCTCTGTGCCTCCCAAACTAGAATGGCAATAACCGGGTGACAACATATATAAATTACCGGGAAAAAGGGGGAAGAAAGACAAACACAATCAAAAGGGTGCTGAAACGCGCTCCTCAATCCTCTTTCCCCCTCCCCTCCGTACTCCTCCTCTGCCTCGGGTGACTGTGAAGATGAACGAACGCTCAGTTTCCCCTCTCCCCCCCGCCATCCCCAGTGTCACCCGTGCGCTGGGGTCAGAGCCAAAGCCACGGGGGAACAGGGAGCGGAAACTGCGGCAGCACACTCGCTCAGATAAACAGAAGGTCCTGATTGAATGCAGCCCCTAGGTTACCCCCCCCACTCCCCCCACCCGACCCCTTTACGTACCAACCGCCTCCCCACTCACACGCACCCTCCACACCCAACAGAGGGGCCACATTGCACTGACCGACTCCGAGTCCTTGCTGAAAAAAGAATTAACACGGTCAGAAAACTCTCGTTGTCTCTGCTCCAGTATTGATAAGCAAGCACCAGGCCACCAGCCCCTCCATTCCTCCATTTGTTCGTTGCTTTGCTCCTCTGTCGGTCCGTCCGTTCCGTCCGTCCGCCTTTCTGTCCGTTAGTCAGCAAGTGCCTCGTGTCCTCTCCACTAAACCCCCTCCGCCACGTTTCACCAGTGGCCGGAGTGGGGCAAAGTCCTGGGTTTCAGGTCACTGACTGCCTGCCCTCCAGACAGTAAGGGCGGGTGAGGAAATCGGCAAAGACGAAGGTGAAGATGGAGGCGATGAAGACAAGGCACTCACTCAGCTGAGCAAAAGGATTCCTCCCCACCCTCCGCTCCCCTCCCCTCCCCCCACCTCCCCCCACCCCGCTCCCTCTGCTTTTCTCTTTGCTCTTTGAAGAGGAGGGAAGGAACAACAATCAAACATGGACCTTGACATCCGAATCCTCCGGGGAACGGAACGAGTTCATGTCCACAGCTGTTCGGCGTAAGAACCCAGACGTCTTCTCGCTCTCTCGTTAAAAGTCTTTCAAGCGATTCCGGGAGGGGGGGGGGGGATCCGCTGCGTCCGTGTTGGGAAACACCCCCCCTCCCCACCCAGCGCAGGCCCCACCCCTACATCAAGCCAAAAAGGCGGACGCGCACACATAGATCTTCCTCTGAGCGAAGCGGGGCGCGGGGGGGCGGGGGGTGGGGGGTCAGTTTGTGTGTCCGAGGAAGGTGGAAGCTTGGCTCTTCTCTACGTCTCTTGGCCCCCAAATAAATAAATTACTGCCGTGGGGAAAAAAACAAAAAACTAGGCTGGAAAATAACCGGGTGCGTGCCAGCGGCTGGGCTGGCGGTGACATTTCCCGCTACCGGCCTCGTTTGCTGCAGGATTTGCAGCACTGTTTGCCGTAGAACTTGTGTCCGCACACTCCGTGCTGAGGCACCAGGTGACACCAGGAGAAGAAGTCAACGCAGCTCAGGTCTGGCCGGTCGGAGAGAGAGGGAGAGAGAGAGGGGGAGGGAGAAATCAACAACAATAATAGCAACAGCGTCCTTCCCATTTGGATGACGTCTTGGAGCACTTCATAATAATAATAATAATAACAATCCTTGTATTTGACACAGTGCCTTATCGCGGCATTGAGACGTCTCAAAGCGCTTCACAGAATATACCGTAAAGTGGAGTGACTTTGTATATGTTGTGGTCGAAACGCGGCAGCCGATCGCGCACAGCAGTGTACCCGCAAACAGTCGTGGACCGAGTGACCAAATTATTATTTTTTTGGAACGGACTATTACCCCCGGAAAGCGATCCGCCAATCGACTAACAACCGGGTTCCTACTGACCGCTGGTAAACAGAGGCGCGTGTGTGGAGTAAGGAAAAGGAACCTAAGTCCGCTCGCTTGCGAGGCGAGCCCACTAGCCACGAGGCTACGGGACTCCACAAATGGCACAACTCTGCAAGAGAAGTGGGATTAGAGGGGAGCGAGAGAGCGAGCGAGGCTACAGGCTTACCTTTCCTGGGGGATGGGCAGTAGTTGGTGTGACAGGCCCTGGACGTGGCTGGCCTCTGGTGGGGGAGACACCCGGTTGCTGGTCGGCCCTGCCTCAGGCAGTGTGCGGAGCGTGTCTGCACCCCTCCCCCGCACGTCACTGTACACTGGACACGGGAGAGGATCAAAGTTCACGGACATTAATTCCCCTGCGCCCGACAAGCCAATGCCACGTCAACACATCTCGTAGGGAACTGGCCTCAGGGTTAATAATAATAATAATAATAATAAATAATTGGCTGTGTTTTTTGTGGGCGAAATATCATTACTATCGTTATGCCCAGCAATGCCCCACAAACAGCCGTAAAGTGAGCGACCAATTTTATCTGGAGTGGTGTGGGAGGGTGGGCGGGGTGGGGGTGTGGGGGCTGGTTGAGGGGGGGTGGTTACTGGCCAGGACAACGGAAGAGAGAAACTCCCTTCTCGTGTCTCGTGGTCTTTAAGGTTCGGCTAAACGGCTTAGACGGGAGAGCTCGGTTTAATGTCTTGTCCAATGTCCAAAGGAGCGCACCAACCGCCCCCACCCACCAAGTCCACCCCCTACCCCTCCACCCTACGTACCTGTTGCCACGGAGACGCGTACCAGGCGGAGGCGACGTTGCTGAGCACCCGTTCGGCCGTGGGTTTGGTGGGATTGTCTGGTTTGGTGGGACAGGCTCCCGGGTTGCAGCCTCGCTCCAGCTCGGCCTTGGGTTTGCTCAGGTGTCGGCAGCGTCGCTGCGGGAACTCCACGTACTCGCCGCTCACCGTCTTCTCTGCGCACTTCATCACCCGCTTCTGCAGCCCGGCCCCGCAGGACACCGAGCACTGTGACCGCAGGCAGGGAAACACCAGCAAACAATCAACACAAGGTCCACACAAGATCGGTCTGGGTGAAGATAGCCCTTTTCCCAACCCCTTCCCCATACCCCCGTCTCTTCCAGAACACCTGCTCCACCATCCCGTCTGCTTTCCATTCCCCCCCCCCCCCACAACACCCCAAACCCCCATCACAACAGCACCAACAGATTACATTTGCAAGAGGACGTCCCAAGGCGCTGGACAGTCAGGGATTTGGACCCAAGCTGGAGGTTGGGATCAGGAGGGAGTGGAGGGCAGGGAGGGTGGGGGGTGACCGAAGGAGCGGTCAAAGTGGAGGGTCTTGAGACTTGCCTTGAAGTAGACGAGGGAGGGAGTGGGGTAAAGGGACTGTGAGATGAGTTTCCAAAGGGTGGGGGCTGAGAGGCTGAAGGCCCCACCATTGCTGGTGATGTGGGCAAGGTGGGCGATGTGGGGCAGGCCAGAGCCCACTATGCAGAGGGATGGTATGGAGCATCGAGCTGCTTTCTCGGGTAGGGGAACAGAGGAAAATCAGCCACCGTGAACCATGAGCCGCGAGAGCCAAGCTTTGCCCGAACCTCGGTCCAGGCTGACGTGATCCAACGAAGTCGTTCGTTTTTCGGGCATCTCCTCAGCACGCACACCTCCTGGCTCTTGGGCTTGAGTTTGGGGTGGCACTGGGGCCCGCTCCCCACCGCCGGGCCCCGGGGTGACCAGGCTGCGGGGGCCTTCGTGCTTCTGCAGAACACGTCGCGCTTCCGGAGGCCTCGCCCACACGTTTTGGAACACTGGGGACAAGTCAAGCGTTTTATGTTATAACACAATAACAACTTATGTTTGTACAGCGACTCTCACGTCGGGAAGACGTCCCAGAGCGTTGAACCTGCTCGCAGCATCGCAGGCCTCGAATTCCCCCACCCCACCCACCACCCCAATTACATTGTCTTCCAACTCAGTATTGGGGCTGAAACCTGGACCTCCCAACCTCAAGAGAAGGTCCAGTGATGATAATCATCACAATCCTCTCATTTTTACACAGTGCCTTCTACGCTTGGGAGGATTGTCGACCGGGAGAAGACACAGGAGAAACGCACGCTGTGGCGTGTTTAACCACCGAAAGCCTGTGCTGCATTTAAAGGGTTAAATCCAGATGAGTCTCTGAATAGTCTCTACACCAATGTCTCGTTGCTGTACATTACCACCTGCGTGATATTGCTGAGTGGGCTCTTAACAGGAGAGGAAACAGGGAAAGGCTCAGGGATTGGCTGGGAGCCACCTTTTAACGCAATTCATGAGCACGACTGTGCCGAGCACTTTACTGGAGAGTCCAATTCCCTTGATCCACTCCAGCGCTCATTGGAACTGTCTCTGCTGGAGCGCCCACCAGCGCTCCCAAGCAATTTACTGGCGAAGCACTGGATTAAAGCGACAAGCACCACGTTAAAATGAAAGTGGCAGCAGTGGGAGACCTGCTGTTACTTTGTGAATCGCACTGTAACAGAACACAAAACATTGCACTCTACAGTGAAACTTGTGAAGTGCTTTGGGTATCCTCCGGGGGTGGGGGGCGCGGGGGCGGGGTGGGGCTGGAGAGGCGGCGGCAGGGAGGCGGATGTGAGTGGGGTCTGGCTCCAAGGTGACGTGCCTGGCAACGGAAAGTCGGAATCGAGCCAGCGCTCTGTGACGGTCTCTCCAGGCTGGTTCCGGAGCCAGGAGGGTGCAAAGTATTCCAGGGCACTCACTGCTGATTACAGAACAGCCCAACCTGGCTCATCGGCAGGACCTGGGAGTGAAGACCAGTCACTGGGGGCAGGTAGTCCTCCCACTCAGCTCCTGTTAGCCCTGCAGCCAAGGGGGACGCATGGAATTCTCAGTTTGGTTTGGACACTGTTCACCACAGTGATGGGTTAACTACAAATAGCCAATCTCCTCTCATCACCTCACACAGGCACTCGCACTGGGAATACTTTCACTTGCAGTGAGAAATTACTGTTTGTACACATAGCCCTGGCTGCCAGTCTCTGTTAAGAATGGCTTAAGTACCTCTTTGTACAACAAAAGGTTCATAGACAAGCCCACGATGGGAGTTGACCATTGCCAGTAACTCAGGGTAAACAGTTTCCAAACCCCATCTCGACAGAAAAAGCTAAAAAGATAAACCCTCATCAAATATTGGACAGAGGACTAAACCACAATCATCACATATAATGACAGGAGCAATAACCTGTACCTCGTCACCCAGGCATTTGTCTTCAAGTCCCAATGCCAACTCCCCAACCCCCCCCTGCCCACCCCCAAAGAAATCATCTATCAACATTCACAGTCCCACACCCCCATGAAGAGAATGTGGCCAATTGATTGACCAGCGTAGGATGGACTGAACCGATCACTCGCTTCCCGGCTGTTTGTGGGGAGGTCGCTGTGAGCAAACTGGCCGCCCCCTTCGCCTATCGCAATAAACAATCACTGCACTTGACAGCAATGTGATGCAGCAGTTAATTTGGGCGCAGCAATTTTCCGAAAGAGCGCCGCGGGACCTTTAACTTCCATCTGAGCTGGTCTGACGCTCCCTCAGCAACGAAGCGCTTTGGGACGTCCTCCTGACGTGAAAGGAGTGACCCCAAAGGGAGGGACGATGGGTGAACTTCAAGGGCAGAGAGCCCCTCAATCCCTGACTGTTCCTCACCGTGAATGAAATCCTCAGGATTACCTATGGAGGGCAGCAGACAATAATAGAGGCACCGACTCAAACCTCACACTGAGGAACACAGGAATATGAACAGGCAGCAGTGCTGATAAGAGGACGTCAGCGGTTACCCAGCGTGTGGATCAGGGGGTCATGCGACCATCCAATGTGTGGACACTGTCATGTTGTTCTGCCCAGACCTTTACCTGGCTCCAGGCCCCGGTGGTCCACTCCGGGGGACACGCCTGGGTGTGACACGGCTGGAGCTGGGCCGGCGTGACGGGGGGGCACATGGAGCGCGGCACCGCCTCGTCCCGCTGGAAGGACGCCTTCCGGAAACACTGGATCTGCCGCGTTTGCTGGCCCCCGCCACATGAGCTGCTGCACTCGCTCCACTTGCCTGTCGACCAGCTGCGATTAGGAGAGGGGGAGGGAGAGAGAGAGAGAGAGAGAGAGGATTGGCAAAGGATGAAGAGCAGAGAGACTCCTGCGGGCCGCAGAATACGAGCAAACAGATGTCCAATTCTAGACAGCCCTCACTTGCCCCTTTGGAACGATCACATGTGGCTGTGGTAACATTCAGGAGCTGCTATTTATAACACGGAGGGAGGATGGGAAGTGCTTTGGGCTGTGCTGTTGCCTTCAGCATTAACCATTGAACAGCTCAGAAGGATTGGCATCAAGTGTTAATTGGTGGGGCGGTGGGGGTGTGGGAGGGCGTTCATTTTGTTCTCTGTATATCCCACCAGGCTCTGAGGCACCATTTAGAATGGAGAGCAGTCAAGGGGCAGCCTGGCTCATTGGGTAGCGCTCTCACCTACCCAGTCAGAAGGTTGTGGGTTCAAACCCCCTCCCACACACACACACACGCAGTGCTGGTCTTGTGAGGTAGGTGGGTGGGGGGGGGGAAAGAGAGAGAGTGCTGCATTGTCAAAGGTTCAGGGTCCAGTGGTGAGACTCTCTCTTTACAGTGTTGTAGGAACCCCCTCGGGATGTGAAAGGCACTTTACAGTATAAATGTAGACTTGCCTTCGCCGAGTCTCCAATGTGAGACTCTCTCAATCTTTACTGCTCAGTTTCAGCACAAAGTACAAAAGTCGTTAAACCACCCACAACCTTAACAACCCAACACGACTGTGTCTCAGAGGTAAGAATCCCTCTTTAAAAAAAGCGGTCTCGATGGTGAGACTCTCTAACTACTGCACCAGTTTGACCACCGAGGCACAAAAGCCATCTGTTGTGGCAGAACCCACTCACAACTTTTAACAACTCAACACATCTGCGTCAACTCGTGAGCCTTATCTCCAGCGATTGCCATTGCCAGAGCCTCTCCGTGGACTGACAGCTTCAGTTAAGGGAAACGGAGACTTATTTTGGCAGCGCATGAAAGATAAAGAGACCCGAGAGAGAATGCGCAATGGCAGAGATGATGATGATGTTAAATTAGTGCTCGGGAAATACAATGGGACACTGGCCCAGGCTGAGAGGAGATGTCACAAAGATTGCCACGTCAGCCAGATCAAAGTTTACAGAGAGAGCGAGACAGAGAGCAACACAATGAGAGACGGAAGTGCGAGCGAGAGAGTAAGAGAGCAAGAAAGCAAAAGAGGGAGCGAGAGAGAGAGAACAAGAAAGCGGCAGAGAGAAAGAGAGAGCCAGAGTGTGCCAGAAAAAGAGCGAGAGCAAGAGAGAGGGAAATGAGAGTGAGACACCGTCCCGTGTGAAATTGGTTATCAGCATCATGGCTGTTTGTGGGACGTTGCTGTGCGTGAACGCACTGTCACTGCACTCAACGGCATTTCATCACCCGTTCTTACAAGCAGCACGTCCACCCTCGCCTTCGCTTCTCAATCCCCACAGCCAGGATTTCTACCTTTTGCCAAAAGCAATACACTTTCCCTGACTAATGCAGCTCTTGCCAAACTTTCCAGATTCCAGATTGTGGGTAGCCTTAGGCCCTCCCTCCCTCCCTCCCATAATGCATGTTTCCGCTAGCATCAGTTCATACACTGTCCACAGAAAGCCCTGCTCCATCGCTGACAGCCATGTATCAGCCACACCATCAGTATGTTGCTTCAGGTATTTTATCCTCTGCTGACCTACCAGTAAGTAGGAACCTGGTTGTTAGTCGATTGGAGGATCGCTTTCTGGGGGTAATAATTTCGGGGGTAGGTACAATAAAAAAAAATCCCCGACTGTTTGTGGGAACGTTGCTGTGCGCCATTAGCTGCTGTGTTTCGCCCATAAAATATAGCCAATTCGCTTTACGGTGTATCCTGTGAAGTGCTTTGAGACGTGTTGAAGACCTGATAAGGCGACGTCTCAAATGCAAGGATTATTATTATTATTATTATAATATTTTGAGGACTTAGCTTCTGACTTGAATCCCTGGTTCCCACTTGCAGTGAGAAGCTAGGAACCTGTGCTCCCTACACAGCGACCTCTGGGCTTCCCAGTCCGCCTCCCGGTCGATCGAGTGCAATCGCAAGCACGAGGTCTGGCCGTGTTACAACAGAGTGCGGGAAAACAAAAATGCCCACTTCCTGCTCGTTGGGAAGGAAATGGGTCGAGCTTCCGGCTTCACTTCCTTCGTGAGGGTGCGCGAGACAGCTCAAGTGCAATTGTTCCAATGAAAATAAACCTGAAACACGAGCTGGCCCTAATAATAATAATAATAATAATCCTTGCATTTGATATAGCGCCTTATCATGCCTTTGAGACGTCTCAAAGCGCTTCACAGGATACACTGTAATGTGTAGTGACAGTGTTTTGTGGGCTTTCCTCTCTTCGGGGCCTGATTTGCAATTTCCCGGCAAGTTCTTTTCATTTAAGATTTGCCGCTCCCCCTCTCCCCCCCCCCCCACCCCCCACCCACCCTCCTCGCCCCCCCACCCTCCCCCCGCTTTTTTTTCTCCCCTTGTTATTACAAAGTGCTGAATGGACCCTGTCAGATTCTGTGTATTTAAGACATCAATACAATATTCCTGCAAGTTGGACAGGATCCCAATCACACACAGACATACACACAGACACACACACACACACACACACACACATATACACACCCACAAACAGACACACACACACACACAGGCAAGAGAGATCAAATCCATGTATTTATCCAATTTGTCATATTTTCCCGATCTTCCATGTTACGACTAAAACCCACAGGAAGGCGATTTCACCTGTCAAAGTCAACTCGTCCCACCAACAAACACTCACTGATTGAAACCTCCCAAAACCAAGCGCTCCCTACAGCTGCCTGTGTTATCCATGAGAGAGCCGGGAGTCAACCTGGCGCCTCCGGTAACCCATTCCCTCGAGTACTTAGAGCCCGAACTTCTGACACCTCAGGGCTGACGTTCCCCACGCAGTTCTTATATCATAAAACGCCCGTGTTATTTTATGATAATAATCCTTGTATTCGATACAGCGCCTTATCACATTGTTGAGGCGTCTCAAAGCGCTTCGCAGGATATACAAAAGTGTAGTGACTGTGTATTTTGTGGGTGAAATACGGCGGCCAATTGCGCACAGCGGCGTCCCACCAACAGATGCGGATTGAATGACTAAATATTCTTTTTTTCCGGCAGGATTTTTACCCCCGGAAAAGCGGTGATGCATCAATCCGAGCGCAAAACACAAAACACACCCAGTCACCGGAACCTTTTTGGTTATCGGCGCACCAGTGAGCAGGGCTGTGAGGGCTGGAAGCGGCGGCTGGAGAGGGAGTGAATGATGCCAGGGACAAATTGCCATTATGTACCAATTTCCTCTGCGAGGATCCTGCCAGAAATTTCTTGGTGGATTTGAGTGTGTCCTGTATTGTGTTACGTCTCTGGTTTAGGATATATATTGAAGGTGTAAGCAGTGTGGACTACTTTGACTTGATATTGGCCAACCAACTCAGCTCCTTGGCTCAGGCACAGAAACCTGTATCAGATCCAATAATTGTTTAGGGGTTCAATGTCGTCTGCGCAGGTTATAAAGCTATGGTGCTCTGGATTCCTTTCAACACAAGCTATTGGAGTGGGCCAACCTTTGACAACTGTCCAGTTGGCTACATTTGGGTGAAACAAAGCTGTGTAGATTCGCTTTCCTCAAGGAAGCGTTCAATCTCAGATATAACACACACACACACATCCGCACACACACACATACAAAGCCAACACAAATACTCCACAAACAATCATGTTGACCTGGCGATCTTTCTTAAAGCCTTTGGGGCTCCGAGTTCCACCTAGTCTTTGCCCCACTACTCCACAGCCTTGGTACATCCTAAAGCAATGATCTGGGTTTTACTAAAGCTCAACCCAGAGCTATCAGCTCCCCTCATTCGCCCCCCCCCCCACCCCCCCCACCACCACCACACAGTGCTCTGCTCTCTGAGCTACCTGGGACGCTCTGCTAAAGCCACGTGACTTATTGAACTCTTAGCACTCGCTGCCTGTATTACACGCCTGGCAAGATGTTGCTTTGCACCATCATCGAGTCCAATGCATTAGTAACCCGGAGAGATTCACCCACGGAGCAAAGTGAAACGCACAGAAGCAGCCTTTGTGTAACCTACACGTGGGGATATAGGCTCCAACTTGTTTGACACTTGAAACTACAAAGTGAAATCCATATAGCTCAGCAGAAGAAATTAGCTGGAGGGGGTGGAGGAGGGGAGAGTGCGGGGGTAGGAGTGGGGGAAGCACGGCAAATAGATGAGTCCGGGCCTGCAAGCAGCAGATAAAAAAAATTTAAGCCAAGTGGCTTTAACATCTCTGTGGAATTCCTCATGAACTTCCTATTGATACCATCACCCACCCCATCCCCCCACAGCACCCGTTGAAATGTTATTAATCATTTGGGTTTGCGACGCTGGTTGGCTAAACCCAAGAGATATTCAATGTAGTGGCCGCTAGTCATCAGGGGGAGCAAGCAGGGAGGGCGAGGGATGGGGGAAGAGAGTAGAGGAGAAGAGACAAGGCAATGGCAAGACCTGGGTGGTGGATAGGTTGATATGCTCACAGTCAGCGGTCACATCAAAGTCCCTGTCTGAACCCCATTTATTTCAGTGGAAACACGTTCACGCAGTGAGGTGGGGGGGGGGGGTGTGCGGGTCGTGGTGGGGTGGGGGGTGGGGGGTTGGTGTGATCCGTCTCTCTTTTGTTTGTTACCAAAATGTTGCGAAAGGCTTTGGTGAACGCGGGTTTTCCTTTCGCGTTAATGTTCCCCAGGCAGTCGGGGGTTCAAGGCGGTTGCCCGCCTGCGCTGTGCGTGGGCCTGTGGAGTTGTTGGGCTCTTACCTGGCGGGGCAAGGCTGAGTGTTGCAGGTGATCGTTCCCGTGGCGGGCCTCATCCGTGGCTCACACAGCGAGGAATTCACCTGAATGAGGTGGTCCTGAAGGCAATAGGCCGTGGTCATCATTTTACCTGCAAGGCAGACGGCAAATTCTTTTATTTTTTTTATTTAATTGGGTCAGCCGGGGGTCTGACACATCCAGAAACCCATCGCCGCTGTTTAAGAGTTCTCCAAACCCGAGCTGAGAATTCCACGCGTCCCAACTACACATGGAAGTCCCAGAGATAGATTGTTGGAATGGACCTTCTCTCTCTCTGGAGGGACAGACGCATCCTGGGGATCGGGGATCAGGAGGGGTGGAGAATAGGGACGCTGGTGGGGGGGGGGGTTGGCACAGGAGGGTGACAGAAGACGCGATCGAAGAGCAGGGTCTCGAGACGGGCCTTGAAGGAGGCGAGGGAGTCACTGTAAAGTGTAGTGACTGTGTGTTGTTGTGCAGGTTCACCCTCAGGCGAAGAGGGCAGTCACTCACCTCCAGCACACGAGGCAGAGCAATCGGAGCGCTTGACCAGCCAGGTGTGATTGTGCCTGGGCAGGGCTGCCTGGCTCTCATTCCCTGCCTTCGCTATCGTGTACTCCCAGCCGATCCCTGGGTTCTTCCCCTGTAAGAGGATCTGGAGAAAATATACAATACAATACATAAAATAAAGGCAGACAGGAACATAGGAACAAAGGAACTGGAGGAGGCCATTCAGCCCTTCGAGCCTGCTCCACCATTTCATTAGATCGTGGCCGATCTGTACCTCAACTAATCCTTTCAATTCCAATTTCCTGCTTTCTTCCCATATCCCTTAACACCCTGACCTACCAAAAATCTATCAAACTCACTCTTGGAAGGTGTGGATGGATCCAGCATCCACGGCCTATTGGGGGAGAGAATTCCAGATTTCCACCACCCTTCAGAGTGAAAAAAAATGCTTCCTGATTTCACTCTTAAGTGGCCTCTTTAAGACATTTACGTTATTGTAAATAAAGTTACTGCGGACTCCCAGCAAAAGCCGTCGAGTGGACTTTCTACACAGTGGCACGGAGATGCTTCACCAGTTAACATGTGAATTGCTTCCTGCAAGATTAGCAAAATGATAGATTCAGATTGATACTGGGAAACCTCGATATAATAAGGCTGAATGAATGGCGTGCTGTCCTTAAAATAGGTATGTAAGTGTCTGCGTGTGTGTGTGTATATTTGCGTGTGTACGTATGTGCGTGGGGGCGGGGGGAGAGGGGAAAGGAGAAGGAGAAGTGGTGGGTGAGAGCATGCGTTCAAATCTCAATCTGAGATGCAGGCTATTTATTGTTCTTCACCGTACGATGCCCATCAGTGACGGCTGGATGCACAGCTGGCCTGAGCTTGACTGTAAAGCCTGTGGCGTACCAGTGGGCAGACAGCCTTAGCCTGGCTCCCTCACTGCAGCAGCACTCCGCCACTCCGAGCAAGCCAGGCGAGCAGGGATTAAACAGCTACTATAGACAAGATTTGTCTTGTGATCTGTGTCTCAACCCACCACCAGAGCGTTGACCCAGCAGTAGCAGTCTGGCACGGCAGTTTTCAAAGCAATTATCAGAGCATTTTACGCTTAATGTGACTTAATCCGCTCGAGATCACCAGGGCTAAGTCCCCCGCCCCCCTCCACCCACCCTTTCCGAGGACCGGACACATTGACTCTACCAACTAACCAACCCTCACGCCAACCCCCAGTGTGTGTTTCATCGTGCAACCGGGAACTGCAACGAAACAAGCGCAACCTTTGGGGGGAGGGCGGGGGAGCGTTTGGCAAAAGGGGAGGGGGACATGGAAATAAGAAATTGTAAAGGTGTTGTCCTTTTTTGGGGGGAGTGGTGAGGTGAGATATTTGCAGGCTCGGAGGGAGTAAGGGAGAGAGGAAAGAAGGAAGGAAAGAAAGAAAAGAGAAAGAGGAAAAAAGACAGAAAGAAAGAAAGAAAGAAAGAAAGAAAGAAGACAGAAAGAAAGACAGAAAGACAGAAAGACAGAAAGAAAGAAAAAGGCAGAGGCGAAGGGAATGTCACACCTGAAATTCCCAGCTATCTATGCATCAACGTGCAGAACCCTCCCCAGCGGCCAGGCCAGACCAGGCTATTCTGTGGGCTACAGTGCGAGGAATTTACAAGCCAGCCTCGCTTACAGGCACTGACCTGCACAACTGCATCCCTGCAGAGCCTGACATTCCAGCACAGCCAGACACCCGCCAGGTAACAACTGGTCCCAAAACATACAGCTGCCAGAGAACAGAGAAACACCCTCAGGTAACCAGCTCCCTCCCCCCACCAACCCCCAGTTTCTTCGCAGGGCTCCGAACATCTGCCCTTATATACGGGCTCTGGCTGACAGCGAGGCCAACGAGTTCCCCTCTTTGAACCTTTGGGTTAGCGCAGTGCATTTTACAGCTTCTGAACACGCTCCGGACACGCGGCGCTGGGATGAGCTGGATTCTTTGTTAAAAAAAATGTTTAGATCACCTCTGAAGACAAACGCTCGAGGCGAAAGACAATGGCCGGGGCTGGGGGGTGTGGGGGGTGGTGGGTGGTGGGTAGAGGACAGAACACTCATACACTCACACATACTCACACTTACACGCACTCACTCACACAAAGACCCGAACCAAACAACAGAGCATCAGCCTAAACTGTGAGCTCAGTCGCAACGGGGGGGGGTATTCTGAACCCCCGCTACCTTCGGACTTGTACATGCCTCTGGTAGCAAATAAAAACAACAACAACAACAACAACTTGCATTTGCACGGATGCATCATTCACAGGGAAACCGAGACAGACCTGCGTGGCAAAGTGGGCGAGGATAAATTCCTTTCACCCCGGGGACATGGAATTCCAAACCCACGGCAGAGAGATAACGATCTTCTTCTAAGAATAAAACAGCAACAGCCTGAGGGACACTGTCCAGGTAACAATCCCGCAGGTAAAATTGATCACCCCCTCCCCCCCCCCCCCAGCTGTCTGCTGGACCTCTCTCTGACCAAAATTGCTATCTGCAATGCCTGCAAACACACCATCATTACGCTCAACAGTAATTACTGCTGGGCGTTTAAAGATGTTTTGACGTGATAAGGTCCGATAAAAATACAGATAATAAATAGTCTTTGCATCTTCTTTCTTTCACCCCTTCACCCCCGACACAAGGCTCAGCCCTTATATCCTCAGACCAATCGAGCATACACTTCATCACTGTTTGCCGGGAGGTCACTGGGCACAAAATCGGCTGCTGAGTCCGTCCACACAAACACACTGTGCTTTGAGGCGCCCTCCTGACAAGAAAGGCGCTGTGTCAAAATATGAGGACTGCGATTATTATTATATTAATATTATTATTAATAACAACAACAACAGCGGGAGAGAATGGGTTGCAGGGGAATAAAGGCAGCAGCACGTCACAGCTACAGGCTGCTCTTGAACTAGGAAACAGATAGTCGCTGTTTATTAACACGCGCTCTCGACTTTACTGATGTGCTTTTTTGACTGAAAATTTAATTGTTGTTGTTGATGTTTTAATGAAGTCTTGGACTTCGAGGTTGACCAGCCACATCTGCACTGATGTATTTGATGGATCTAACCCACTGCTCTCGGCTGAAACTCGCTTTCATCTCTCGAGACATAAGGAGGGGAGGCAGAGTCATTACATCATCCTGTCTGGGCTTTTAATGTCCGCACTGAAAAGGGAAGAAACACACACACACACACACACCACAGAGACAATTCCTTTTGTCACAGCCCGGCATCTAATGATGGCAATACGGCAGCCAGAGACCCTTTATTCCCACATCCCAGCGTGATTAAGCGCTCCCCTGTTTTGGGAGATCACTAAAGAGCCGGGATGACACAGAGCGGGACTGTAATTAAGGGTGATTGCATGCAAGCCATTCGCGCCCCCTCCATCTGACTGGAGTCTGCCGTTCACTGCCAACCTGTCACTGTTAATAACGCACAGGACACAAGAGATGGAATGGGAGCGGGAGAGGGATGGGGGAGAGTGGGGGCGGTGGGGGGAGAATCTTACTTCAAAGAGCAGCGTCTCATTAGTCGGTCCAGTGGAGTACAGGCTTTCTGGCTTGTTGAAGGAGCGTTGGTAGTGGAATGAAGCTCCCCCGAAGCTGAACTTGCCTGGCCAATCCACCGTCCAGTCTCCTGTCAGGTAGTATTTGTCTTTCAGGCTGCGCACTGCCAGGTAGCTCGTGGAAATGTCCAGCTCGTACAGACGGATGCTGCGAGCTCCAGCTGGCACCGTGACCACTGAGTAATATTCTGTGGTGGGGGAGGGTGGGGGGAGGGGGGGGAGGGGAAGGTGGGAGAGAGAAAACACAACCTCAACACTTGTCGTGAGCTGCGAATCCGTAAAATAAGAATTTCCGATGAATTCCGGTCACTTTTTTTTGAGTCTCGTACGTGGTAAAAGGAACGGGAGACACACTCCTCCTACCACATATACCTCCTCCCCCCACCACGTGCTAACCTCCCCCCACCCATCCCCCCCAATGCACACACACACCCCTACTCTCCCTTCCGCCAACACACAACTTTGCCCAAACCCAAGTTAATCATAACCCGTCCCTCCTTGTGGGGGAGGAAGGGAGGGGAAACCGGGGTCTCCTTGGAGCTGATCTGAACTCCAAGGTGATGTGCTAAGGCAACGGCATCTAGAGATCAAGACCACCTTCTGTGGCTCTCTCTCTCTCCCTTCTTTCATCCAATTCCCGAGCTAAGTGGGTCAGTCCACTGTACTCCCAGGGCCACTGCCAATGACAGTGGGGAGCTTGCCAGTGAGCCCCAATAGCTACCCCTGGACACACACACTCCAAGGGTCCCCCCACACCAAGCCTCGGCTCTCTCCTCCCACCTCGCACCTCACGATCTGGTGTACTTGCCGTTGGCTCGGTGCTGCTCGTGGTACTGGCCTCGGAAGAAGGTGCAGGTGGAATTGTCCCCGTTGCAGACGCCACAGGCGTCCACCACAGCATTTGATCCCAGAACGCGATCACATCCCACTGCCTGGAGCAAGAGAGGTCACAAATTACACTGCAATTTAACCACACGAGGCAAAGGCAGTACTCACTCCCACTGCAGAAAGAACTGTCTGTGGGGACGCTGCTGTGCGCAATTGGCTGCCATGTTTCGCCCACAAAATATACAGTCAATTCCCTTTACAATATACTCTGCGATGCGCTTTGAGACGTCTCGAAGACGTGACAAGGTCCTCGATCAAATGCAAGGATTATGCTTCTTATTCTTATTAGGATCTTGTGAACTTGGGTGGGAAGGTGGCGAGGGGGCCAAGTAAAGCAGGAAGGAGAGAAGCTGGGCATTTTACCTCGCAAATGCCATCGATGCAGACGTCAAACCTGTTCTCCACGCAGGGAGTGCCGTCCTTGACCTTGCTGGACATGGCAAAGAAGAAGTCAAAGTCTTCAGCGATGCAGTACAGCTTGCAGATGTCTTCCTCTGGAAACGCAGCACAAAGCAACGCGTCATTTCTTAAATAAGAAAAAAACCTCTCTCCCCGATTACCTCCTCCACTTTACCTGGGAAGCATTTGGGATGTCCTCCCGCCGTGAAAGGCGCGCTACCAAACGTAAACATTCCAGAAAAAATTGGGTCACTCACTGCTGTTGGTGGGGACGATGCTGTGCGCAAACTGGCTGTGGGGTTTCCCCCACAAAATACACAGTCACTATACTTTACAGGATATCCTGTGAAGCGCTTTGAGACGTCTAAACAACGTGATAAGGTGCTGCGTCAAATGCAAGGAGTATTTTAAGGGGTCGGATTGCGAGGGGCCTTGACCGGGGTCTGGTGTTGATCTCCCCAAGTGCGTCCCCACGACAAAGGGTGCCAGAGTGGGGAATCCTCAACACCAGAATGTGGGTGGTCTCTCGTCAATCACTGCGCTTAAACTCCAAACAACTGGCAATCCAGTTGTTCCTGTCAGATACCTGGATTGCTCCATCGCTGGGTCAGAGAGAAGAGCTCTCTCTGTGTTATCCTGTGGTTCAAAATCAACACCTTCATGTACACGTGCAATGACTGACAGACAGACGCTCTATAGAAAGGCTGAGAAAACACTCGGGCTTGCACCAGCTTGTCAGCAACTTACAGAGAGGCTCAAGGAAGACAGCCCGAGAGAACAACATCCAGCCTTTCCACACTCTCTTCCCCATTTCTCTCTCGTTCCCTCTCTCCCTCTCCCTCTCTCTCTCTCTCTCAGAATGATGTGTGTGTATCTGTGTGTGTGTCTCTCTCTTTCTCTTTTGCTGCTTGTCCTTGCTTGCTTACCCTCTCACCTCGTTCGAACCCCATCTCAAGTCGTACCTCTTTGCCTGCGCTTTCAGTCATCTTTTCCCCTCCTCCCCTTTTCCCAATCGGCTCTCATCAGCCCTCCCCCATCTCCCCTACCCCAACCCCCTCCACCAGCCCCACCATCGCCAGCTCAGGTGCCCGGCAATGGCTCATGACATGAAAGGCGCCGCGTGTAAATGTAAATTGTATTGTGTTGGATTTAAGGCCCAAAAGATGTTCCTGGTCTGTATCAGGTTAACCAGATCCATCGCTGGTTTCAGTGGTAAGAATTCTTGCCTGTCAGGCGCGAGACCCGGGTTCGATTCCCGGCCGACCCAAAGTTTTTTAAGACCCGTGTGGAGTTCAAACACCGACCGGCACAGACGAGTTGGATCGAAACGGCCTGTTTACTTGCTGTAACGTGTTCTATGTCAGGTCACCCCTAGAATTTACTCAACCCCGATGAGGAAAGAAAAGCCCTGATCTCCACGCCCCGCGACGCTGGCTTCCGCACGCACTGGGTGTTTTACCGTCAACCTTCAGGTAGGGTTTCCACTTGTAATACCAGCCTCGGAAGGGCCGGCTGTTGTACTCGGCACACTGCTGGGCTCGGAAGCTCACCGCGTGCCGCTGGCAGGCCTGGGCGTTGCACACGCGGTACACACGGCTGGAGCCGTAACAGAAACGTCCCCCGTACTGAGGCCTGGCAACACACAAACGGGGATGGTGGGATGCTGCTTCTTGTCGGAGTCCGCGAGTGTGTGTGTGTGTGTGTTTTGTCAATGGACCCGGCAGCCAATCTGAGCTCAGCCGTGAAGTGAATCAGGGTTGATGTTTGGGGGTTTTGTGGGGCGGGGTTGGTGGGAGCGGGGGATTGTTGGCCAGGACACCGGCAGAGAGAGAGAGAAACTCCCTTTCCCTTTTCGAGTAGCGCCGCAGAGATTTTTAACGTCCAATCGACATGCATTAAGTGCATCTCAAAGGGGGTTTTGAAGGACATGCTCAAGCTCTGTTTTTTTTTCTTGGTCAGCCATGTGTCTGACACGTGCGGAAACCCATTGCCAGTGTTTGAGAGTATCCAAAACAGACTGAGAGAGTTCCACATAATGTGGAACCTCCACGTGCAAATTTATCCCCTGCCTGGAACGGAATGCTCTCGCTCTCTCTCTCTCTGTACCCCCTGGAGGGATGCACCCTGCTCACTTAATTCCCGGAGAATATTAGACACAGGTTGGCGAGACACAAGACTTTGAGGGGAGTGAGGGGGGCGGGGGGAAAGTTGACCCTTCCAGTGTGGATAACTGCAGGCACTTGACCAGCTAAACCCGTACAACTTGTCATCGTGATCAGACAAGGGATGGGGGTAACCTGAGCGCTGGCTACACTGGGAAGGAAGACGGGAAAGGTTTCCTATTGCAAAGATCAACTCCCTCTTCCAATACGCAGGGTCTGAGCAGATAACCCGATGGGCAATCGGCATGAAAAAAATAAAATAAAACTCTGGTTGAGAAGGGCAGCTTTCTGTCACCAACAGACAACTTTGCATTTTCTGCTTTACCAACAAAAAAAAGAAGGGGGCCGTTTCGCAAACACTTGATTTATTGAGCTGCTTGTGTGCGCCACACACACCCGCCTTGGGGGCCAATCTTAAATCATTCCGGGAGGTTGAGTGAACGGGTTTTATTATTGGGATGGTGTCTGGCTTCCAGGATACTGCACACAGCTGTAAAAACTCCCAACTACTCACATCTGGGCTCAAGTGCAGGGTTAATCCGCCATCGAGCTCAGGGACTGGACACGACCGAGCCTGAAATTGCCCCAAGCTCCCTCTTCCCCCCACACCCCCCACATCTCTCTATCTCCCCCTCTCTCTGACCCAAAGGAAACATCTTGTCTCACCTCAGACACATGTCCTAATGGGAACATTAACATTGTGCTCAGCAATGAGTGGAGACGAGTCCAGGGGAAAAATGCTGGAATTGTGAATTCCAGGGCAATCCTGTTCTGAGCTACATTCCATCAACTGAGTCCAATGTGTGTGTGTGTGTTGGTGGGGGGGGATAGGGAATCCCTGGTTCCCCATCAAAGAGACAGTAAAACTCCCCCCACCCCCCCCACAAAAAAAACATAAGTGTAAATGGGAATATTTTCCCTGTGATTATACTGGAATAATTTCCTTGTAAAGCGATGGTGGTGGGGTAGTGCGAGGAGGAGGGGTGTGTGTGTGTGGGGTGGGGGGGGGGGGGGGGGGGGCGGGAGGTGGAATTGGGGAGATGGGAGGGCAATTTGGACTGCTTTACGTCACTTGTGATAATTATCTCCAAATTTCCCCCCAGCCCGCCCCACATACACATAGACACACACATTTCGCCCACAAAATACAGTCAATTCCCTTCATAATATATTCTGTGAAGCGCTTTGAGACGTGTGAACGACGGGATAAGGCAGAATGTCAGATGCAAGGATTATTATTATTATTATTACTATTTCCAAATGTGCGTCAGCCCCCACTAAGGGCATCAGGACACACACACACACACACACGGACACACACGCATGCACACATACACTCTTATCCGTGAAGTTTTTTTCCACATGTCATTCCGGTCACGTTAGGAAGGAACACGCCATCAGCGTGTATTGAGTGGAGAACGCCATGTGTGTGCCGAGTCTCTAACCTAATTTAAATTACAACAACCCGCAGGCTTGGAGTTTTTTTTTTTTGACATGGTCGTTTGATCACCTGCGCTGGAGAGGGAACAGCTGGCCGTGAGCGCTCGTGATTAATGACGGGATGGAAAGGGGGGGGTGGGGGGGGAACACATTGGAGCGTGACACAGGAGGACAGCCTCAACAAATTGAAGGCAGGTATTAGTGGAGTCATGCAGTGAATTGTTGAGGTTGACTCTAACCTAGTGCTCAGCCTGGCTCAGTCAGTAACATAGTCCTCTCCGCATCAGAAGGTTGTAGGCTCAAGGTACCCCACGTAAGGGGGGGGTTTGAGATCACATAGTCTAAGCTGATGCTCCAGTGCGAGGGGTGGGTGGGGGGTGGGGAGCGCACCTTTGGGTGAGATTTTCAAGATTCCGGTGGTGCTATTCGCAAAAGAGGAGGAAGTTTCTTTCCCCCTCTCTCGCTCTCTCTCTCTCCTGGTGTCTTGGCTGACAATCCCCCACAGATAAAATCAGTCACTCACTTCACGTCTGTTTGTGGGGACGTCGCTGTGTGCAAATTGGCTGCCAAGTTTGCCTGTGAAACACGCAGTCGCTGCAGTTTACAGTAAATTCCTGTGAAGCGCTTTGAGACGTCCTCCCGACATGAAAGGCTCCGTATCAAACGTGAGGACTATTATCATCGTGACGTCTTTGAATGCAACAGTGAAAAGCATTGCAATAATAAAAATCTTTCAAACGAGAGACCTGAGTTCAATTCCAGGCAGAGGGCGAAACCTTGGGCAAGTTTCCTTACTCCACACAGAGCCTAATAATAATCCCTCCAAAACCAAAAACAATAATAAATTGGTCATTTTCAATCTACGACTGTTTGTGGGACATTGCTGTGCGCAATTGGCTGCCGCGTTCGCCCACAAATATACTGTCAATTCACTTTACAGTGTGTTCTGTGAAGCGCTTTGGGACGTCCTCCCGACGTGAAAAGCGCTATCAAATGCAAGGATTATTATTATTATTATTATAAATGGAGCATCCAAACACAATACAATGTAAAATTACTTTCACACGCCTTCACAGGTAATTCCCGTCAAGTGCAGGGACTGTGGCAAACTCAGGCGGCTCGGAAGTGCAGAATTTACCCAAATAATGCGGAGAGATTGCTGGTCGGAGCATTCCTACAGTTAAAGCCTCCTATGCTCTATAAGAAAGTGTGTAGCTTAAGGATCATTAGCGATTCCCGAGAAAACAGTTGAAGTATTTAGCTGCTCTGCTGGGCAGTGCTTTAACAAGCGGTAACATTGAACCTCTACAGATAGAAGTTACAGCTGACAATGTTTATTAACTCTCTCTGATTCGCCTGGCAATGGATTGGCCTCTCCTCGTGATTTACCGTGAGGAGGTTCCCGCTGATCCGGAATGGAAGCACTGACAGACGTTTAACTGTTTGTGAACTGGGATCATCCGGAGTCCTGTGGCGTAGTGGTTAGCGAGAGGACCCGTTTTCGATTCCCAGGTAGGGTGAAACGTTGGACAAGTTTCCTTACTGCACTTGCCTCCGCCTTCAAACCTCCCCCACCCCGCCACTAAATAAATAATAATAATAATAATCCTTGTGTCTGACGCAGCGGCCTTCATGTCGGGACGACGTCTCCAAGTGCTTTGCAGGAATTGTTACTGCGGATAAATATAATATAATAATCCTTGCTTTTGATCTGGCGCCTTATCACATCCTCGAGACGTCTCAAAGTGCTTGACAGTATGACATTGTAAAGTGGATTTGACCGTTTTTTTTGTGGTACTGTAATGTGGAGTGACTGTGTGCTATGGTTTACTCGAGGCTTCTGGAAAAAAAAACGCTTCGGTTGTGGTTTCACTCAATGCGCTCAAACTGCCCCTCGTCTCTCCTCTCTCCCACGCTTTGTAAAGTGCTTCGAGATGTTCACCCCATGAGAAACACACCAAGACACAAACACAAGTCTGGACACTCCAGGCCTTAACAAAGGAGCGATGATAAGACACGCTGTGTCAGGGACGAGGCTTTTTCTCTATTTCTCTCTCTCTCTCTCTCTCTCTCAGCCTGACAACCCCCACTTTCAATTTTAATTAAATTTGATAATCTTGAGCCGTGGCACAAAACGCCTCTTTTATTTTACCCCAATCCCCACCCCGCCCACGCCCACCCTCGGAGTCCCCGGCTTGTGCGAGTTATCTTTGCGTGGGCCACCGCCGCAGTTAAACGTTAAGAAAACAGAGACACTCGGAGGTTGACAGCTGGCATCAGCAGCCTGTCAGCGGTGCTGGGGAGGGCGATACCGGGGCTGGGAGGTTACAGCTCTCAGGACAGACCGGCTAGTTTGGGCCTTTCTTCACTGGAGAAGTTTAAGAGGGGGAACTTAACAGAAATAAAAACAGAAGTCGCTGGGAACACTCAGCAGGTCAGGCAGCATCTATGGAGACCCGAAACATTGACTCACTTTCCTCTCTCCGTAGACGCTGCCTGACCTGCTGAGTGTTCCCTGCGACTTCTGCTTTTGTTTCAGATTTCCAGCATCTGCAGTATTTGGTGTTTTGACCCTAATAGAAATGTTTAACGGTACCAAACAGATTGAGGAGGTTAACATAAATAGGCTGTTTCCACTGGTTGGGGAACCTGTAACCAGGGGAACGTGTGTAAAAAATAATGACTAGCGGGAACCTAAAAGAGAATTGAGGATGTATTCAAGAGGAAGCTTACGAGACCTTCACACGAGGGAGAGGGGAATAGAAGGGTTTGGGAGGGAGTGAGGATTGGGATTGAGGACTCGTGTGGAGTATAAACACCGGCACAGTGCTGTACATTCTTTGTAAATCTTTGTAGCAAAGGGGAGCTTCGGGGGATGAACACAACATATCTGGCGAGGCGACGAGCCATTGAGGAACTGAACCAAGCAGAGAAGGACGCCCCTTTTCACCCCCCCCATCCCCCTCCCCATCCACCCCCCCCCAGCTCTGACCTCTGCTCTGACTGCCGAACATGTTCCTCTCACTTGCTCACTCTCTCGCTTGTTGGGGGTCTTACTTTGGGCTGTCGCAGTGTCTCTCCTTGTATGTCACTCCGCCCCCGCAGGTCCGGGAACACTCCGACCACTCCGACCAGGGAGACCACTGACCGTCAATAGGCTTGGGCCCCTCGTCTCCGTACACCAGGCACTGCCCTCGCCGGCACCACTGTGAAGGGAAAGCAACCGCAGGCGTGAGACTCGGACACGCGCCAATGCCATCGGTAAATTCATCTGGGACTTTGTTCCCAATCATGTCGCAATCATGGCGGGGAGTTGGGGAATGAGACAGTGAGCTTATCTACGTCTATAACAATAACAACAAATTGCTCTCGCCCGAACTGCGCCTGATACTTCCCAGATTAGTTCAGCAGAGTGAGTCCCTCCAGGGAGAGATGGAGAGAGAGTATGCAATCCATTCCAGACACAGGGAAATTTCTGCGTGGAGGAAACTTAGGTATGTGGACCTCTCAGTCTGGTTTGGAGAGTCGGAAGCACGGCGATGGGTTTCCACGTGTGTCCAACAAAAAAGTTAGCAATGATTTAGCTCTATTTTTTTGATTAGATTTAATCCGATAGGTAAATAGGTACAGACGCACTCGGAGAGGGACAGTTACATGTGAGAGGCAGAACGTCTGACTTGGTGGAGAGAGGGCTGCCCACGGAGTCAGGCTGACCCACCAGCAAACTCTCTGTAGTCTCCAGCAGCCTAAATAGTTTGTAAAGAGGATTAACCCTGGAAGCATTATCTGACGGGTATCAGAAGAGCCTGCTGGATTGGCACAGAGGACGGATGTGCGTGCGTGGCTCTCCTTTGGGGTTTGGGGGGGGGGGGGGTGTGGGGGGAGCGAGACCTCCCTGTGGCAACCTGTCTCACAATCGTGTGATGGATATCTCGAGATCCACTTGTTGAGGAGGAAAGAGACAGGGGGTAATTAGTGTTAGCAAATGGGTCTTGGCATCTCGCCAGGTGAACCGCTGGGGCTGAGCGAGTCTTGTGAGCGCTCAGCTACAAACTGATCGGGGTGGGGAGAGCGAGGAGGGGGTGGGGAGAGACTGAGGAAGTAGGGAGGGAGAGCGAGAAGGGGTGGAGGGGGAAAGAGCAAGGAAGGGGGTCAGAAACCACATCGAAACGGAACAGGGGCGGAAAGCTCAACAAAACAAATAAAATCCGTCACGCTCCTCATGTCCTTCTAACCCCACCCTTTGGAACTCCAACCCGCAATCCCTCCGTCTCGCCTTCTTCCATCGCCCCCTTCAAGGCCCATCTCAAAACCCTCCTCTTCGACCATGCATTCAGCTACCCTCCAACCCCTCCTGATCCCAAACCCCAGCTCAGGTCCAAATCCCTGACTGTCCAGCGCCTTGGGACGTCCTCCCGACGTGAAAGGGGCCATGAAAATGATGTTGTTGAGGAGGACTTTGCTGCTATGCACAAATTGGCTTCCACGTGCGCTTACAGCAAATATATATATTATATATATATATACACACTGTGGATATTACTCACCATGTTCAATCCGCAGACAGTGCCTTCAGCGGCTGGCATGAACTTGGTTTCGCACCGGTGCCCACTCCTGTGGCACCAAAGAGCTTTGCAAATGTCCTGCAGCGAGACATGGAAGAGAAATGCTCATTATAATAACAATACGCACTAATCCTTGCATTTGATACAGGCGCCGTCATGAAACCCAGCATTATAGGTGACCATTGAGCTACTACTTAATGCAGGAATACTGACGATGTTGATTTCTATTGGGAGTTTCTCACTATAATCGCGCACTCTAATCAGAGGAACTACTCGGGACTCTGAGTGGCATTGCAGCTCTCTTTACGGTCTCATCTGCAGGACGACACTGCAGTGTGTCGGGGTTACAGCAGCACAGACGATCGTACCAACGACCTCCCTTTTCTTCACAACCCTCAATCCCATTTCCGATCAGGTATTAATAAACAACGTTTGTTCATAATTGCTTCTGTTGATTTGTTTTCTCCGGCTCAGCCTGGCATCCGACACACGTGGAAACCCATCTCCATGCTTAAGAGTATCCGAACCAGACTGAGAGCTCCACATTATGTACTGCCCTTGGGACGTCCTCTCGACGTGAAAGACGCTATACAAATGTAATTTGTTGTTGTTGCCCCTTACAGGTTGTGATTTCTTCGTGTCTCTCTCTCTCTTTCTCCTCTCCATGGAGGGACGCAACCTACTTAACCAATTCTGGAGAGTATTAGGCGCAGGTTGGCAAGAGCCAAGGCTGGGGGGGATCCCAGAGTGTGCGTTGGGGTAACTGCTGGAGTCAAACCAGCTAATACGGTGTAGCTTGTCCATTGCGAGCCCTGGCTGACTCCACATCTCCCAGTGAAACAAGAAAAAACATCGCACAAATTCGAAAAAAATCAAAAAATCTGGGACAGATAATCACATCTGCTGCAAGTTAAACACAGCCCAAAGCTGCATCCCTCCCCCCGGCCCACCTCAAACTATCACACAGATGGGCTCAGCATTTTGCAAAGAAATCTCCCCAATTTCTGAAGGCCAATTCCGCACACAGAAAACATAGGAACCGGAGGAGGCCATTCAGACCCTCGAGCCTGTTCTGCCAATCTATTAGATCATGGCTGATCTGTACCTCAACTACAATTACTGCCTTTGCCCCGTATCCCTTGATATCCAAGGTGGGGAGAGGGGTTGTTTTTAAAAACTGACCTATATATATATATATAACAACAACTTGCACTTATATAGAGCCCCTCATGCAGGTAGGGTCTCAGAATGTTTAAATACATTTAACATATATACTATATAATATATAAGTACACACACAACACATACACACAACACTCACACACAACACTCACGCACATATTATATATATATATATATATAAAAAAACTTTGACTTGGATCCTTTTGATGAAAGAAATAAAGAGAGAGCTGCTTAACACACCCTGTGGATAAACCCAAACCCAAGGTTGGATGAGAGCCAATTGGCAGCGAGTCCTCTGCCTAAAAGCTGGTAACAATGGTACAGTTTGAAAAGTCAATCCCCCTCACCCCCCACTCTTCTCCCGCCAAACCCCCCTCCACACCCACCCCCCACAAAGCGCATCTCCCTGAGTAAGCAATGATAAAAAGCTATTGGATTCACACTGAGCATTTCACAGTTGTGCTCTGCTCATTAAATGTATTGTAGTCGCTTGATTCCCCTCGGAAACTTAATCAGCTGTTGCTCTGAGACGCCCTTTCGTTTAATACATAAATTCCGAAAGCTTAGGGGTTTCTTAGCAGTTTCCCTCCTCCCCTCCCACTGCCGACTGACATAAAACACCCGCTGGTTACGGACATTCACACATATTCACATGCCCTACCCCCCCCCCCATCCTTCACCCAAGCCTTGGTTCTCGCCAACCTGCGGCAAATACACTCTAGGTATTAGCGAGACACGATGCGTCGTTTTGAACGAGAGAGAGAGAGGGGGGGAGGGAATTTCTGGTTTGGTTACTCTTCAGTTTCACATGAGTTTCAGACACTGAGCCGCTGCCCCCTGCAATGCTCATCAACCTGAGCTTTTCTGAAAGGCAAGACACTGTTTAATGTCAACAACAACAACAACTTGCACTGATGTAGCGTCTCGAATCGCTCAACCGGCAGGTACCTTAACAAAGTCCAGAGAACACAGCTTGGCCTTCGGTCCGAACTGCCACTTGCACTGGGTGTCGGCGTCGTACATCTGTCCTGGGAGCCCCGTGGGGTACCTGTATTCTCGGGTTTGCTTGGGTTCGTCCACCAGGCAGGAGGCCTGAGCTGTGCTGTGAAGACATTCCGGGCAGATAAGAACACAAGGATTGCTGGACGAAAGAAGATCAAAGGTCCACCCTGTTCGCTTTCCACCATCCTGGCAGTCGCTTGCATATGTCATTGCCCAACTAAATGCTGTATCCCAAGATAAAGGCAGAGCAAGCCATCAAGCTTACCCCTGGTCAAGCCGATTGAAGAAAAGGGGAGGATGGGGGGAAGGGGGGAAAAGGCTTCTTTAATCAAGAAGCCTGACTGTGATTGTCTCTGTGCATGTGATAATGTGGTGTGTCACTGCGTGTGTGACTGTGTTGCGTGTGACTGCGCAGCACGTGACTGGCTGTATGTGTCCTGTGCTGTACACACGCCTACCTCAGAAAGCGGTTGAGATACTGCCTGCTGCAGGCCGACCAGGAGAAGATGCCATTGTTTCCGGCCAGGGTGGGAGACATGATGTTGCCCTCCGTTTTCCGACAGGGATTTCCCTCCCCGTCGTGGATCATCCCAAAGCTTCAAAACAATCAAACGAACCATCAGTGCCTTACTTTACAAGGGGCGGTGGGGGGAGGGGAGGGTTAGTTGTTGGTCAGTCAGGTGCGGCCACACACAGAAAAATGTCAGTCACCGTGCTTAAGAGTCTCGAAACCAGACAGAGTTCCACATATGTATGCCAAACGTACACATGGAAATTTCCCCGTGTCTGCAATGGAATGTGCACGCTCTCTCTTTCCTTGGAGGAATGCACCCTGCTTAACTAATACTAGAGAGTATAAGGCACAGGTTGGCAAGAGCCAAGGCTTGAGGGGAGGGATCGCTGAGTGTGCGTTAAGGGGGTAACTGCTGGAGTCCAACCAGCCCAAAAAAAACTGAACTGCACAGCTTGCCCAATGAGAGCACTATCTGGCAAGCTTCACGCTGCTTTGTCTTGCTTGGATCACCCCCATTAGGGCTCTGGCTTGAGTTAATAAGAGCTGAGTGGGAAGAATCCCTGGCCCCAGTGACCAGTCTATGATGGCGTTACAGATGTGACTGCATTGAATAAAAGCATATAAATAAAATCTGCTTTCTGTCTGTGGACAGTCTGGGCTCTCAGTCCAGCTCTCAGTGTAGTTTCCAGCAGCCAGATGTGCAGGGATCCAACTGAAATAATACTGTCAGGAGTCTTGGTTGAATGTCAAGCACAGTATTGGGGATGGGAGGGGTAGGGGGGAATTTTTCAGAGGCACTGTGCTTTGGACGCGATGTCCAATTGAGGTCCCGGTCTGTGCCCTGTTCAGGTGCAAGTTAACGGTGCCTTGATACTATTTGTAAAGAGAAGGAAATTTCTCTCTGATAAAATTGGTCACTCGCTTCATGGCTGTTTGTGGGGATGTCGCTTAGCACAGAATTAACTGCCTAGTTCACTCATAAAATACTTTGGGGGGGTGGGGGGTGCTGTCAGCCAGGTGTCTGACACGCGTGGAAGCCCATCACTGTTGCTTAAAAGTCTCCAAACCGAACTGAGAATGTCATGCTTCCCACCTCCCACATGGAAATCCCAGAAAATACAGTCACTACACTTGAGACCCTGTGCGTGACTCTACCTCTGATCATGTGTGACAGAGACAGAGGGGAAGAGATTGAAAGCAGAAGCAAAATGTCGAAAGAGAAAGGAGAGAGAGAGAGAGAGAAAAAGAGAGAGGAGAGAAAGAGACGGGAGAGGAGAGAGAGTGAGAGAGAGGGGAGAGGAGATAGAGAGAGAGAGAGAGAGAGAGTGAGCCTTAGACATTGTATTTCTGTTTAATTCAACACAGATACTTCCTCCTGGCTCCTGCAGTGAATTAGATCCTACTGATGCAGAAGCCAGTTCTCACAGGGCAGAGAGCAAGCTGAGCTGCTCCACACAGCGCAGGCTATCTCCCAGCACCAGCTAACAGTCACTGCCGGGCTCCTTCTCTCCCTCGGCCCATCCTACCCACCCACCCGCCCCCCGCACCCACCCTGAGCCTCCTTTCCCCGTTCGTCCTCCTCATGGAACGGACTTGTCAAAGCAAAGCCCTTTTTTGTGGGGGGAGAGGGACACCCCCCCCCCCCACCCTAAACAAATTTAAACCGCTGACTGCAAAGGAGATGGGTTGATATCCTGGAGGGAGGGATGGATGGGAGGGAGGGGAAGAGCGTTCATTGCTCCGTGATAGCGATAAAACAATCCAGAAGGGTTTGGCCAGAGGCGCACAGCACTGCAGAACAGGATACATTTTTGATGAATAAAATAAAACACACCAGCCCATTTTCTCTCTGCGTGGGGCAAATACTAATGGCAGAGAAGAGGAAGCAGCAGTTTCCTCGGATCATTTCCAGCAAAGAGGCCGACCAACATGTTAGCAAAACACCCCCACCTGCCCTGCCCCCATCCCTCCTCCCTCCCCCTCCTCGGGTCAATTAGTTTCCTGGTGAGTACAATTTCCCGAGCAATCCCAAACCCACCAACTTCCTATCCTCGCGTGAAGCCCACACTTTTCGTGAGAGGTTCTGGGTTTCGTCAAACGACCATGAGGCTGGGCTTCCTGACCACTACGGTCTGCTCTTAATTATAAATAATAATAATCCTTGCATTTCATGTCGGGTCTGATCGCGTCTTCGAGACGTCTCAAAGCGCTTCACAGGATGATAGTGTAAATGGGGGCGACTGTGCGTTTCGTGGGCAGGAATCTATTCGGAGGTCAAACCGTGGTCACTTACTTGTGGCCGGACTCGTGAGCGATGGTGAAGGCCAGGCCCAGACCCGTGTCCTCGTTGATGGTGCAGCTCCGGTGTTTGCTGCACATGCCGCTGATCGGAGCGAAGCCTGCAACACAGGCAGGGTCAGGGCGAGGAGGGAATGGGACACACACACACACACACACACACGTGCCACACACACGTACCACACACACACACGTACCACACACACGTACCACAGACACACACGCACCACACACACACACACACAATCACACATACCACAACTGAGCCTAGTCCTGCCTGAAACCATCAGACACATCACAGGGCAGGGGGATGGATAGGGCTCAGTTCAGGGAGCAGTCTCTGGTGCCTCGCTTACCCAGGGTGTCACAAGGCTCGTTCTTCCAGGAGCAGATGTCCAGCCCGGTCAGTAGCACTGCGTGGTCGTGCCGCTTGCCGTTCTTGCCGGTCAGCCCCGCCTGCCACTGGCAGAAGCTGTTCAGTGACTGGTCAGCGTGATGGTTTATCACTAACCCAGACTGAAGGGAAGCAACACAACATGATTAGTGTTCGTTCCGAATCCAGTCTCAGCGACCGGCAGACACGGGACGGACCCTATATTTATTTACATATAAAACATACAGTGTGTCACTGCTCCCTGTTATAACTCATCCCATTAAAGCGCTGGCTTGTTTAAATGTCAATGAATTTAACAGGAAACTTGACGCATAGATGAGAGAGAAGAGAATAGAAGGTGGGAGGCGGGAAGCGGCTGTGCGGTGAGTTCAGGTGTGAAGACGATAAGAAACACCCACCGGATTCTGTTCCAGCAGCAAAAGGCTAACGATGGCGATGCGGATGTCAGTCCCTATTGTACCATCTTTGAAAAGGCTGGAGACCTGCGAGTCGGGCAGAGACAGCAAATCACCGAGAGCACGGCCTCACACACAGTCCTCTAACTTGCCGATCTGTACCTCAACACCAAATCCCCTGACACCCTGACCTATCAAACATCTGTCCAGCTGCCTGCTCCGCTGGAGCTTTCCATTTGGTTTGGATACTCTTAAGCACGGCGATGGGTTTCCGCGTGTGTCAGACTCCCGGCTGAACCAAACAAAAAAAAATCACCCTCGTCCCCACTATCACTGCAGGCGTCTCACCATGTTCATGACGGTCAGGACGTAGGTGGTGACGTTCTCGTTGCCGTGCTTCTCCAGCATTCTCTTGTCGGCCACCACCAGGATTTCCACCGTCAGCCCCTGCCTCTTCCGGGAGTCCAGCAGCGATCGCTTCCACCTCATCTCGGGGTCTCGTTCATCCAGGGAGTGTCGGGGGTCCTGCACGGGGGGTTGAGGCATGTCTGGGAGGGGATTGTGGGTGGGTGGGGGGGTTCAGGGTCAGGTCGTGTGGGGAGAGGAGATGAGGGGAGAGGGAGAGGGGCGGGGGGAAAGAAAAGACCAAGACAGTTCTGGAGAGAGGTCAAACTTCACTGACTCTGGTTACCTGCACAAACAGAGACGTTTTCTAACCTACAACCCAAGACCCGGTGAATCCAATCTCAGATCCAATTATAACGACTCAACTGTTATTGCCAGCCCAGTAACTTGTCCCTGTTGCATTTACACCCCCCACAAAGTACCTTTCTCCCACCTCCGCCTTTTCTCTCCTTTCCCTCCCAGAAGAGGAAAGTCTTTGGGTGCGCTGTGAAGATGGGCAAAGATGGTGGGTGTGGGGGTGGCGGGGGGGAGGGTCGAGGCGGAGGAATTGAGATAGGGAGTTCCCTGAGCATCAAGGCACAACAGTTTCTGATACCCTTCGTCGACGATGAAGGAAATGTACGAGAGGCAAGAAAGGCAGAGGAATGTATCTCAAACATATTGTGTGTGTGTGTGTGTGTGTGTGTGTGTGGGTGGGTGGGGAGGGGGGGGAATTGGCTCGCGGTTTGCTGACTGTGAAATAGCTAGCCATTTGCAGCCGTTGTTGGGAGATTGCTAAATATTTTGTTTGACTGACAGGTTTCCCCGCGTCACCTGCACCTTACTGTGTTGAGGCCCAAGGCCATACTTATGGGAATAAACGTCTTGGCAACGGGATAGACAAAGCGACAAGGAGAAGATACTGCAGCAATTTGCCAACACGATGACTGATGCGTTTAAAATACCACAGGGCCTACTGTCAGCCAAACTACTCCCTCTCTCCCTGCCTGCCTGCCTGCCTTCCACCCACCCAGCCCAAAGCCAAGCAAATGTTAGCCAGAGGTGCCAAGTCTACACAGGCGTGTGTGTGTGTGCGTGTGTGTGTGGTTGTGGCGGGGAGGCTAACATCACAAACACCGACTCCCCAGGACCTGCTTTCCGCACCAGGGAAGTTAATGTGGGGATAGAGTCCGCTTGCAAACCGGCGTGGGTATAAGAGAGGGAATGGGACAATGAGAGAGGGAATAGGAGTGCGTGGAAGTGGGGGTGGGGGGGAGAGGGGTGACTTTTGAAATTAAGACAATGGTCGACCTTTGGTGGGATGTCCCCCCATTATAAACCGCTTGTCACTGGCCGGTAGTTTCAGCACTAATTGCGTTCGACGTAGAAGCTCTTGGAGGGAGGGTGCGGGAGCTAAACAGGGTTTATGCAGGATTTAGCGCCTTGGGACGTCCTCCCGATGTGAAAGGCACGACACAAACATCCTTTGTTGTTGTGGTTGGAAGCATCCTGTCGGAAACGGGTCTTTGAATTGTAAACATACAGACGTGTGTGTGTGTGTGAGAGAGAGAGAGAGACACACAGAGAGAGAGAGAAAACCTTTTGGCACTCAACATCATTGTTGAACAATTTGAAAAGCGTTCGCGAGTTAAGCTGTTCGCCCGCTCGCCCGCTCGCCCGCCCGGGTGAAGTTTAAAAAGAGGTTCCTTACATACATTTCTTGCGTCGTCCACAGAAATGCTGCTTCTTGGGGTCTGCTCGGTGTCGGAGGTGGGTGGTGGGCCGGTGGTGTTGTTGGCGAAGGTGGCTCTGGGGTGGTGGTCCGTGCCCGGCTCGCCTGTGTACCCTGCGCTCCGCTGATCTCCTGTACAGCACGTGTGGGCGGTGGCCTGGGGCCCAGGTGTAATTGTGACTCAATGCCAGGTGATGAGGTAATGGAGTTATAAGGTATTCAACCTGCTGGCTCCGCACTAAACCCGACTGAAAGACAAATGTGATTTTTTTCTCTCTCAGACGCTGCTAAGTACATGTCTTTCTTTCTTTCTTTCTTTCTTTTTTTTTCTCAGTCTCACAACCCTGTTGACGTCCGGGCCAAAAGCTTTCTAGACTTAACAGTGCCACTCACTCCCTCGCTCCCTCCTTCGCTGGCTCTGACACAGTCCCATGGCCACTAATTCATCACAGTGAGAAAGCTGGCTGGGAGGTGGCAGTAAAAAGAGAGGAAATAAAAAGCTTTGGTGGATCCAACTCTCAGCAAAGAACTGTGAAGCTTGACGTTTGGGCCAAAACACATTTTTACAGTTTTCTTTAATTGCTGGTATGAATAGGACTGGGTTTACAGCACAGAATGGAGGCCATTTGGCCCATCGTATCTGTGCTGGTGCTCGCTCCCCCACTGGAACTCTCTACTCTAACCCCATTCGCTGTCCTGTGTGAGCTCAGAGCTACAAATTCCTCTGCAGGAAAAAGAGATGGTTCCTTTCCTGACCTCTCCAGGGTTCTTTTGAGTTCAACCACAAATGGTTCTCCTCCCATCAAGCTTCCTCCCTCAAAGACAGCTCAAAGACACCCAGGCCTCTGAGTTCTCAATGGCCACATCTAATAGTCTTCCCATATTGGGTGACAGGTTGTGCTCTCTGAGGAAGGGCCTCCAAGCACCCCCCTTGCCCTTCAGCTTCCACCCCCACCCCCTCCTCGCCTTGGGCTTCCCAACCGCCCTCCCCTTCACCCTCCTTTGATTTCAAGAGTTCTGAGAGCTCCATCTGGAAACAGTCAAGGACCACAGAGCAATTCATGTGGTGAGACAGGTGCCAGTCAACAATGCTTCTCGTTTATCAGTCCTAACACTGTGTACAAGGGCCCTGGGCTATGAGGGCCCAAGTCTCTGATCAAACCAATCCTTTGTGCATTTTCTTTTTATTCCAATCGGAGAACAGGCCAATCCAAAACCAAGTTCTTCATGATGATCGCACGGCTCGGTTTTGGCAAAGGGACACGATCATTTTTATTATAATAATAATATAGTAATATAATGTTATATAATACCAATGCCACCCTTCTTCTTCCCCTTCATTCCTAATCATTTCAGCGCTCCAGGATGCAGCCCCACGTGAAGGGCACGGTATCAATGCAAGTTGTTGTTGTTACTGTAGAATTTGCCATCTCTTCACCCCCTCATTCACACTGCCCAGAGTCATCCCTCGAGAGTAACACCTACATAACAAATTCCTGACCAGAGGAGACCAGTTAGTCTGCAACTGGACCGGGCCTCGGACCAGTCAACTGACCACCAACTGACATCAACAAGAGCTCCAAACACTGTTGTGAGGTTTTCTTTTGGTTTCCGCCCCATCATTGTCCGCCAGCAACAATAACAACTTGCATTGACACAGCACCCCTCACGCAGGGTAGAGTCCCAGAGCCAGGCTGGACGGTTAGATCTTGAGCGAATTGCCGAACGCTTTTTTTTTAAATGACAAAGATGGAGCAAAAAAAAAAAAGATTTTAGATTTGATATTTCGGGGGTAAAATAAATCTGCTTCAATCCCAGAGTAACCCTGATCTAACCATAGCATTTCTTGGCAAAGCAATTTGTGTCGATGGCAATTTTTGTTTTACCCCCTTCAGCAATGCACCGTACTTACAAGAAGCGAAACAAAGGGAACTCTGTGTTCTCTGCATCTGTTTTACACCAGTAATTACTCCCCTCCAAGCTGGACTCAACCGAGCTAAGCTAACCCTGGAGCAAACCCTGACTGGCCCAGAGACAGGGAGGGTTACACTAGGGCACATTAGTTCAGGGGAGAGGAGACACTGGTAACTAAGTCAATAGGATCAGACCAGGTCTGATGAGAACATCATATAGATTGAGCCATACAATAATAATGATTATTGTCATTATTATCAATAATTATTATATTAATACCTCTTATTATTATATTGTTACTATTATCCTTGTATTTGATATAGCGCCTTATCACGTTTTTGAGACGTCTTAAAGCACTTCACAGAATATATCGCAGAGTTGATTGATTGATTGATTGATTGATTGACTATTTTGTGGGTGAAACGCGACAGCCACAAAATATTATTATTTTAACAAGGCAACAGTCACTATAATAATAGTAATAATCCTTACATTTGATCGAGTACCTTTCACGTTTGGGAGGATGGCTCAACATACTACAGAAGATATACAGCAAAGTGGAGTGAACGAGGCACCCAATTTACACCCAGGGAAGTGCCCGCAAACAGCCATGAAGAGAACGGCCTATTATAAATGAGGGATTGTCGGCCAGGACACCGGGAGAGAGAGAGAGAGAGAGAGAGAAACTCCAGTCTCTACAGTACTCCATTGGGTGAAGCGCTTTATGTCGTCACCGGAGATTTGGTTTTAAAAAAAAGTAATTTCCTGCACCCGATGCAGCGCCTTATCACGTCGTCGCGACGTCTCAGAACCGGTTCGTGGGATTTTACCGTGAAGTGTAGCGACTGTACATTTTTGTAGGGAAACGCGGCAGCCAAATTGCATGAAGCGAGTGACCAGTTTTCTTTTATTTGGAGGGCTGTTGGCAACGTAACTATTAATTACAATAATTCGCTCATTCCAAAATCCTGGGAAACACAATATTTGCGAGCTGAGTTTTCACATCACCCAAAATGACCCACTCCGCCCTCCTCCTCTCCCTCTCGAGGTGAAACCCTATTGAGCTCAAAGATGTTGCTTGATATTAAATCCCGATAAACAGTCGTCGGTTTGCCAGGAACACTGGATTACGCTGAGATCAGATTTGTTTGGACTCCCAACAACCAACAAAACAAGAAGAGAGAAGAAATGGCCAGTTTGCTAATTGCAGCAGCTTGCCATGAAACATTACACTCGGATTAAGTTCTATGAACAGCTGCTAAAAATAGCAGCTCCTATGTAGTGAGGTGCACGTAATCACTCATTAACGTGAGAGAGAGAGAGAGAGAGAGAAGGGGGGGTGGTGAAACACACATATCTTACGCAATATTAATTAGTGTCTGAAAGCGCCTTATTGTCACCCACAGAACCGTAATGAGCCGAGTGCACAACCAAACGGAGGCTTGGGAAACGTCCAACACTTGAACCACGGAAGAATCGTACAATCTTACAGCACAGAAAGAGGCCATTCGGCCCATCGTGCCTGTGCCACCTCTTTGAAAGAGCTATCCAACTAGTCCCACTCCCCCACTCTTACCCCATAGCTCTGCAAATGTTTCCTTGTTAAGTGCCTATCCCGATTTAACCACTGGCTTGAAACGCGTGTCTTAATTCTCTTTTCAAAGCTGTTTACGGATTCTGCTTCAATCACTGGTTTCGTTCAGGGTTGCCACGTCCCAACAACCCTGTGTGTCTGTTTGTGGTGTATGCCTGTTCATGTGTGTGTGTGTGTGTGTGTGTGTATCTGTGCGCATGTCTCTCTTTATGTGTTTGTGTATGTGAGTGTGTGTCTGTGAATGCGTGTGTGAGTGTGTCTGTATTTGTACGTATATGTGTATGTGTGCGTGTGTCTTGTATGCTTCTGACCTCTGGTTACCAAAGTCACTGATCAGCAGAAATGGTTTCACTCTATTTATCCTATCAAGATCCTCCCTAATTATAAAAACGGAATGAGGACTGTGGACTGGGTATCTGTACTGAGCCAGAATGTGCGAGTGGATCTTGGGCACGAAGGTGGGATTCTATGCTTTGATCAAGTATGTGTTTATCAGGGGCTGTTTTTACAAATCTAATCCACCCATCTAATCCACCTTCAGAATAATTCTAGGTCTCTGCCTTTGTAATAGATGTCTTATCTATCATGCTATCTCTGTGATTATATACATATATATATACACATATAGATTTTTTTTTTCGCAGGCAGCTTCAATTTTTAATTAAAAGCCACTCAGGAAACCCGAAACTGCTTACCTCAAGTGACCGACGAAATCCAAGAGGCGAAATCCGAGAGAAAAATTAATTCAACAATACGGATGAAGAAACGAATTGCAAAGAAAAAAAAACCCCTGAAAAACCTCTTAATCGCATTAACGTTGAAGTTTCCCGAGGAACCCAAGTTCACTTTCTGCCACTTGGCCTTTGATCTCATGAAATGCCAACAGCATCTTTAAATCTCTAAAGAGAGAACAGAGATCTAACCAGAATCCACTGGAATGATTTCAAACACATCTTCCTGTGATCGCTCTCCATGTCAACCCTCGGTTACAGGATATCATTTAATGATCTCATGTGTGGGGGGAACAGACAAGAGAGAGAGCAATTGCACCTGGCTCTAGATTTACTCTATTTATGTCGGATCCAACATCGGGACATGAACTCATATCGTTTAAGCGGACAATGCAACCGCCCACCCACGTGGGTGGGGGGGGGGGGTCGCATTGTCAGAGGTGCCGTCCTTCATGTGAGATGTTAAACCGAGGTCCCGTCTGCCTGTTCAGGTGGATGTTAAAGGGTCCATTGCGATGTTCAAAAAGAAAGGGAGTTTCTCTCTCTCTCTCCCCTGGTGTCCTGACCAACAATCCCCCAAATAAAATTGGTCATTCAGTCCACTACTGTTTGTGGGACGTTGCTGTGCACAATTGTGCTGCCACGTTTGCCTGCAAATACACAGTCAGTCCGTTTCACAGTAAAAAAAATTAAACTTCACATTAAAATTAAATTAAATTTCACAGTAAAATTCCCTTCCTATTTTCAGGTCTCTGCTGAAGACCTTTCTTTTCGACCGCGCCTTTGGTCATCTTTCTCCCCCTCTCCCCGCCCCCCCACCCCCGGCTCGGTCCCGGGATCCGTTCCTGTGAAGCGCTCTGAGACGCCGTCCGGCGTGGGGGGGGGGCGCTATATAAATCCAAATTGTTGTTGTGAAAACCTGCGAAGCGAACGCAGTCACTCCATTTCACTCTCGGATCCCAACCTGCAGCTCGGGTGCAAAGCTCTCGTTGTCCAGCAACTTGGGACG